ACTCACTTTCATATTATCTGAGCCTTCTGCAGTGAGCTTGGGTTATTTTGTTAACAAAAATAAAGACTTTTGGAATACAGTGAAAATTCTGAACACGTTTTAGATTAAAATAATCTCTGTAGACCAGGCGTGGTGGCGCACACCTTTAATCCCAGCACTTGGGAGGCAGAGGCAGGTGGATCTCTGTGAGTTCGAGGCCAACCTGGCCTACTGAGCGAGTTCCAGGACAGGCTTCATAGCTACTGAGAAACCCTGTCTCAGAAAACAAACAAACAAACAACCCAGCTAAACCAACGAAAATCTCACGGGTTGTTAAATGACAAGGAAACTTTCCAGCGTCTTCAAATTATGAGTGCAACTAAGACCTCCTAAGCGCTGCGGATGAAGAGCTGCCTTCTAAAGCCCTGAATGTCTGCAAGGCACCCGTGCACCGATGCTGGGGATGACCGTTCCAGACACAGATCAAAGCCACGAGCAGGCACCTGGAGGTGGACTGCAGAGCAGCCTTGCAAGAACATCTTAAAGGGCTCCTGTGTAAGCAGCGAACAGAGGGGCATACAAAATCCAAAATTAAAAGCTTTCACAAGTTTTAAGGTAACAATATTCTTAAAAGGCTTTTAAAAACTCTCCTATTTTTAGAAGTAAAGGGATGTGAAAATGTGTGGGTTGCAGCTCACTGGTGAAGAATTTGTCTAGTGTGTACAAGGCCCTGGGTTCAATCCTTTCTACTGCAAAAGAAAAAAAAAAAAAGAAAAGAAGTACAGGGGCTGAAATGCTGGCTCCGTGCTCAGGAGCACTGACCGGTCTTCAGTTCCCAGCATCCTCACACTGACTCACAACCACCCTTACCCAAGTCCGTCTCAGGGAATCTGATGTCCTCTTTTGACCTCTGTCGGCACTGCACATGTCCCCCCCCCCCCCCCCCCGCGCACACACAGATAAAATATTTTTTAAGAAAAAAGTACAACAGAAGGCAGAAATTAAAAACCCTGTGCTCACCTCACCCCCACACAACTGTGACTAGCTTCCTGTGGGTCCTGTGGAGGAGACAGTTTTCCATAAGGAGACGGCTTGCCTGTGAGCAGCTGGTGGCATCAATGTGTGCCAGACTCTGTTCAGTGGCTAGGCAGTGCATTTTTACACATTTCAGTGAAGTTTATCAGAGGCCAGAGGATAAGGCAAGTAACTGAAACTCAGGGCAGGAAAGCGGCAGCTAATGGGGGAAGCACTGATCAACACGTTACAACTGTGGCTCCAGCAGGGTCTCTCAGAGACAGACGTGAGCAGCTCGCCATGGCACTTCTGAATGCCACAGGAATGACAGGAACCCTATGGTATTAACCCTTCCCAGAAAAGAACACCTTTCAGTACTGAAGGGAAAAAAAAAAATCACCCACCCATTTCCAGGCCTTTGTGCCCTAATCAACCCCATGTCAGGAACAATAAGGAAGTGCCCGTTTGAGTCACAGCATTGTTAGCAGTCTGTGCCAGTTAGCACAGGTTGGCATCACTCTTGATTTTATGTATGTGGGTGTTTTGCCGGCACGTATGTTTGTGAACTGGAGTTACAGAACACTGCGTGAGTTGCCAGCGAGTGCCTGAAATCGGAATCTAAAGGGTCCTCTGCAAGAACAGCAAGCACTAGTGACTACTGAGCCACATCTCCAACCCTTAACCCCCAGGATCAAAGTCTTAATCCATCAGAGCTGGGGCCACAGGCATGAGCCATCACACCAACTTCATTTCATTTATTTAAAAAGATGTATTTATTATTGTGTATATACCACTCTATGGGGGCTCAGGACCCATGGAGGACAGACGAGGGCAACAAATCTCCTGGAGCTGGAGTTTAGGTGGTGGTGAGCAGCCCATGTAGGTCGAGGATCAAACTCAAGTCCTCCGAAAGAAAAGCATTCTTATCTGTGAGCCTTTTTGCTCCAATCCTTCCATTTTTTTTTCTTTTGGTAACAATAACCACTCCACAAAAACAAACAAAGAAAGCCAACTGGGAGCGTTCCAGACCAGTCTAAACCAGTCTATTTGCTTGTGCCAGGGTCTTGCTATGGCGGTCATGCTTACTTGAAAACTCATTATTATCTCAGACTGGCTTCAAACCTCCCGAATGCTGGGATTAGAAATCTGTGCCCATGCCCTAAAAAGTGTTAAAGCGGCAACATCTCTTCATCCCCTATGGAAACAAAGGCAACCAGCGCTTTCCCCACGGTCTGTTCTTGGTCTCTACTCATAACCACCTCCTCCTCCTTCTTGGAACTTTGAATCTGTGTTCTGACATTTATTTCTAACATCAATGCCCAAAATACCATGCTATTCCTAGGATGCTGGCTTTAAAAGGCAGTATCAAGGCCGAGCGGTGGTGGTGCATGCCTTTAATTCCAGCACTCTGGGGACAGAGGCAGGCAGAACTCTATGAATCTGAGGCCAGCCTGGGTCTGCAGAGCAAGCTCCAGGGTAGCCAGAGCTGTTACACAGAGAAACTCTGTCTTGAAAAACCTAAATAAATAAATAAATAAAAAAGGGCAGTATTAAGAGTTTATTTTTGGACAAAACAGGCAGCTTTGAAAATAATTTGAAAATCTCTGTTGTAACACTTAAATTGAGTCTCATCACCCCCCAACTCTCCAACCCTCTAGACAAGGTCTCTTTATGTAGCCTTCACTGCCCTGGAACTCACTATGTAGACCAGGCTGGCCTTGAACTCAGAGATCCACCAGCCTCTGCCCCTCGAATACTGGGATCCAGGCATGCGTTACCATATCTGGCTGAAAGTCACTGTCATTCTGAGGGTGCTTTCTCTGCTGGCCAGGTGGACTCTGACTGAGTTAACCTTCATCTGCTGTCACCGTCTTCACAGTCTTAGCTTGGGCCCCACCTGAGGGTTACTGTTATGCTCCTGCCAACCTCTGAACTGAGGTACTCTAGAGCTACTTAAAGCACTGATCTGCATTACTCTAGACCCCAAACCACCTTCTACAGGAATTCCTCCTTCCCATAAATACTGAGCAACCCTCTTTGTGCTCAGAGAAGAGAATAAACTTGGTGTATTTGTGTTTGCTATTTAAACACATGGGCCAGTAAGCAGTGTGAGTATCTGGGCTTCAGACAGATCCTTAACTGTCCTGCCAGCCAGCCTCCATCAGAGGCAAGGCTAAGAATGATGTGCAGGCAAGGAAATCTGCCCTGAAGTTACCAAAGTTCCTTAAAATCATTTGCTGAATCAAAGTCCGTGTTTGAACTGGGCCTGAACTCAAGTTCTCAAGAATCTTGTCTCTACCTGTCGACTCTCTATCCACCTGGGTGAGTTCTTAGGCTGCCACACCGTGCTGCCCGAAGATGTACACTGAGCGCCCCAGAGTCTCTCATCACCAGCATCTCCCTGGGCATCTAGAACCTCTGCTTCCTGCTCTTGGTTCAGGACGATCTTTAATCCCTCAGATCTGACATCCAGAAAGCATCTTCCATTCCTGTCAGAAGCAACTTAGACAGGCCAAATCTAAAGACACTTTCCACACATAGTGACCAAGTCTCTTCAAGGTACAACTAAGAGAGGTTAAAGATAGGACACGGAGTCATAAAAAAACAAACACAATTGTCTATTTTATGTTGGTGCTGGTGCACTGAAACCAGACCAGCCCTGATTTCGTGACAAGTTTTTAACAATTTTCATAGAAACTCAGCCAGGGAAGTCTGACATGGAACTGTCTAGGTCTGTGAGTTGGAATTCTAGCAAACCACAGCTGTGCATCCCCCACTCTCAAGGGGCTCGTGTCCTGCACATTATTCTTATTGCTGTTCTATTCAAACTACTCTAAAAGGAGGAGGTGGGAAGACTTATGCTACCACTTTGGAACGATGGCCCTTCAGATTCCTCTAGTGTTTAACCCTACCCATACTAACCGAGCACGCCACTGCTGGGCCGGTATGCATCTGTGTGTACTTGTTTGCTTGTTTGGTTCCAGACCCCCTCCTCCTAACGTTTTACCTGGTAACGCAGTCACAGGACTTATAAAACTTTCCTCCACGTCACGTGGCTATGTGGACTCAAGTATTTGCATAAATGATCTCTGGTGCAATGTGACTTTGCCTGCTGGGTCAGACAAGCACTAATTCAGGGGTTTTGTGTTTTCAGTACTTTGACAAAAGAAAACCTCTTTAACTGGCAACTTTCTCTCTTGATTAGCACTCTAGACACCACAGAGAGTCAGTCACCTTGGTAGTAGGCTGTTATTCTTTTCTCTTAAGCCCAAAGGGTGACAAGAACGACCCAAAAGCACATGGCTCAAGGACTTGGCAGAGTTAGCAGATCAATACAGCAGCCAAAGTTTATGTTTACTGCAGCCTGCAATCCCCAAGCTTTGGGTTTTGACAGTGGGGCAGGAAGGCATTTGCTGGGGAAGCAGGAAAGGCCTGGAGTACCCCCTCCACAGCCCCGCCCCAGTTTCCCCAGAAGACAAACAGCACCGGCCATAGATCTCTTCTACTTGGCAAGTGGTTTTTCCAATTCAGGGTTGATTATGGAGGGTCAGTTTGGCTAGTAAACATAAGTGGAAGGCTTCCGTTTGCCGGAATGCTAAAAGCACTGCTGGAATGAAAAGACGCAGAGGGACCCTAAGCAGCGTCCTTGGCTTTCGCGAGTGCAAGCAAGCCGGCAATTACCACCGGTGCAACAAGTTCGCACAGAGAAGCGAGGCGACCAGACCCCTCACCTCCAGCAAACCTAGAGGATGCCGCCTTTCCACTTCCAATTCCTGAGATCACTGACTGAGGGACCCCGGAAAGATCAACTCCCGACGCCCCTCCGCGCCCCTCGCCGCCGCCGCGGAAACAAACTGGGCGCTAAGAAGCGTGGCCGCGCAGGGGTCTGTAGAAGGGCGCTCTCTCCGGGAAACCCGGCCTCCCACGGCTGGCCAGTGTCCTCGGGGTCGCTCCTGCGACCTCCCCACCGCCCCGACTTGCACCCGCCGAGGCCCCGGCTGCCTCACCTCGGACGGGAGCCGGCGGCAGCGGACGGCGTTGCGGGGCTCAGCACATCCTGGGGGAGACGGGAAGCCGGACGTGGAACTGCGGGCCCCCCCACCCCGCGCGACGGGTTATGTAACCGGCAGGGGCCGCAGCCGGGACGGAGAAGGCGGCCCCGCGGCACTTCCGCCTCTCGTGCTCCGCCGGCGGCGCAGCCCGGAAGATCATTGGCCGCTGCACCACGTGGCGCCGCCTTCCCTGACGCCGACGCCACCATCTTGGGAGCGGGCTCGGCCTGCTGCCCCAGGCTCGTCGGTTTCTAAAGTTGCCCGCGCCGGCTGCAGAAGCGCAGGACAACTGATAGGTGCTGAGTCGCCCTTGCGTGCGTGCGTGGACGCGGGTCGCGGTTTCTGCGCCCTTCAGTGATCAAGCAGGTCAGAAGAGGCAGGAGGCCTCCCAGACGCTGAACCGCCCGGCCCCGCCGCTGGACTGTTCTCTCCCTGGAGGTTAGTAGACGCCGGCGCCTGCAATCGTGGAAGCCTTTACTCAATGGCACCGCCCCGCGCTCGCGCTGACAGCTTCGAAAGGGCAGTTTTGGGGCTGTCACCGCAACGGGCAGATGACAAGTAGCCTTCAGGACAGGGGTGGGGTGGGGGTTCGATATCCAGTGTAATCCAAAGATAATTCAGTTCCTGTTACCAGGGAACCCATGTTGACAAACAGTTTATCCTTTGCTTTCAGATAATTACAATAACCCACATAACAAAAAACCAAAAAAAAATCCCCAAAGAACAGAATCTGTCCAGGCGAGGGCTAAAATAACCCTGAGAAGATGTCATTAACAGCCAAGGTAACACATTCAAATTTCGTGTCTCAGACTGTAAATCAACGCTATCTTTGAAGCATCAAAGTCATATTCTTTTAACATTTTAAAAAGTAAGGTGTTCCTTGAGATTTTAGAATTTTGGGATTGCATTTGTAGCTAAACGGTAGAAAGCTACCTACCTTATGCATGGGGGCTGGGTTCCATCCTCCGTAACACACACACACACACACACAGCCAAGAGTAGTGAAACAAGATGATATAAATCAGCCACAAATAGTTAACTCTCTTGCTTGTGTAGCATGATGTGTATGGCTGGCAGAATTTATGTAAAGCAGCCTGTATTTCTAGTTTCTTTTTATGATAGTCAAGGAGGACTGGAAAATCCCTCGGACAAAATGGAGATTGTTAAATTTCCAACTTTGTGGAACGAAGTATTACAAACATGCCGCTGTATCCAAGTAGCTCGGGAAAGCATGTTTAGATCCATTCAGGTCATTTTGAGCCTTCAAGACAATTATGCTTTGTGTGTCATTACTGAAATTATTTCTAATTAATCTCGCTGCAGAAAAGTATCTAAGATTGATCTTGGTGTGATCTTAGCACACACCTGTAACCCCAGCTCAGGAAAGGCCAAGGCAAGAGGAATGTGGTCTATGCGACTTGTGTCACATCCTTGAAATAACACTGCTAAAATATCAGTGATAAACTATGCTAAATGCCTACTCCATTACTCAATATTCAGATTGAAAATTTCAAAGTAAAAAGGTGAGGCTATGAAAAGGAAATTGCCTACTCCCCTCTTCTTCTCTCCCCCCCCCCCCCCCCCCCCCCCTTGGTAGGATATAAGGGGAAACCCATTCAGTGACAGAGAAGAGGCAAAATCCTGCCTGCATCCTCATCACATTATCTGGGCAGGGGTTCAGCATCTGTGTCACCTTGGCGATTGTTAAAAATGAAGACCCTCTCATGCTGTCTGAATTTGTATTTACCTCAGAAGTGGCATCCCACAGCATTCACAGGTCATTAAAGACTGAGAAGCACATCCTGGGTGATGACAGAGTAAAGACATTCTTTGGCTTCCAGGGTTATAAAATAAACGGACAAAGCCTTGGCTGCACATATTCGAAAAATTCATGGTGTCTGATGAGATCCTGTCTCATGCACAAGCATGTCTGAATGTGTATGGGCACAGGTGCATGTGCCCAGGGTTGATGTCAGATATCTTCCTTGATGGCTCTCCACTTTCTTACTAAAGCAGGGTCCTTTTATGAACCCGGAGCTCACTAATCCCAGCTAACCCAGCTAGCCACAGGGATTCCCTGTCTCTCCTTCCACTGTGCTGGGATTACAGGAGACTACAGTACTTGTCCAGCTTTTATATGAGCTCCAGGGACCTAAATTTCCTTCTCAGGCTTGTGCAACAAGTGTCTTATTCACTAGGCCATCTCCTGATGGAGGAAGGTCATTGGTTAATTAAATAAAGAAACTGCTTGCCCTGATAGGTTAAAACATAGGTGGGAGGAGTAAACAGGAGGAAGAGGAAGTGAGGTAAGACTCCTCAGACAGACGCGAGATAGCTCTGCTCTCTGAGACACATGGGGTGAAGCTCCGACCCAGGATGGACGTAGGCTAGAATCTTCCCGGTAAGCGCGCCTTGGGGTGCTTACACAGATGATTAGAAATGGGCTAAATTAATATGTGAGAATTAGCCTAGAAGAGGCTGGATAGAAATGGGCCAAGCAGTGTTTAAATGAATACAGTTTGTGTGTTGTTATTTCGGGCATAAGCTAGCCAGGCGGCCGGGGTGCTAGGGACGCAGCCCCGCCGCTCCTTATTTCAACAATCTCCCAGCCCTAAAACTCATTTATCCTTGGGACAAGTCAACACTTGTATTACAGTGACAGGAAAGGTAGCTAACTCCTAAAATAAATAAATAAATAAATACATAAATGCATGTTATGTTCTCCCATGTGGGTATGTTTACCCTGAGCCTCGGTTCCAAAGTCATCTTGAAGGTTTAATCAATTAAAGTCATTCTGCTCTCCCCTGACCTAGTGATTAGTTCAGCTAACCCTAAGCGGGAGAAGGGGAGGGGGGCATCTCTGGTCATTGGGATTAATCTGAATCAGCACAGTGCAGTACTAAGCTGCCAAAAACTCTGCCTTCTGGTTCATTATCTTCTGATGTGTTTGAACATTTCTCCTCCACTCACTAGCTTTGTAATGAATACCCCCCCTCTCCGTCTACTGAATTGAGTCTGCTAAAGTTTGAACAAACCTGCCATCTCCTCCTTCAGTTTGTCCCATCAGGAACCCCCATGCTGAGTGCCGTTTCTTTCCCCTTCGGCTCCTAAGACTACTCACAGCCCCTTCACTTCTGGCTCCCTGACAGGCAGACTGCTAGAAGTACTGCAGTAGGAGCAAGCTGGCAAGCTGCCAGGCACGGGCCCTCAAAGAGAAATCCTCAGTTCTGCCTCAATTCTCCCCAGTGCTTCCTTAGCCTTGGAGACAGGGATGGAATCGGGCTTCTCTGGCCCCGGTTCATCAGCAAGCTTTCAACTACATGATTGGTTCTTCTCTGAAGTCCCAAGAATTTCCAAAGACAGAATCAGTAGGCATTTTAATAGTCGGCCTTAGTCATCTTCATGGTCCTCATGCTCTATCCAGCCCCTAGCAGAAGGATGCAGTACTGCTCTCTTACTCCATCCCTGAGAGATACTAAACCTTCTCTGGAAGGTACCAGCCCACGGCCTTACCTCTGCTCTGTCTGAGGAAGGGAGTCGGTGGATGATGGGGAGAGACTGGTGATTATGTTATCCTAACACTGTTTAGGCATTGATGAGGAATACTGAAAGTCAGAAGACACAGCTACATACTTTGATTACTGAGGCTGCTAGATACACAATAAGGATACACTGATAAACCCATTATAAGATAAAAGTATCATGAGCTAAAAATGAATTAGGGCTGGGGAGAAGGCTCAGGGAAAGGCTTGCTGTGCAAGGATGAGGCCCTTTCAGATTCCTGGCACCCACATAAACTGGCACAGTGTTGACCCCAGAGCCGCAGCATCAGGGGGGCTAGCCAGTCTAGCCAAAATGACAAGCTCCAAGTTCAGTGAGAGACCCTGTCTCACACACAAAAACAAAAAAGGGTAGAGAGCCATAGAGCAAGTCACTGACATCTGTCTCTAGTCTTCACAAGCATGTGTGTATATACCTGTGCACTTGGGAGTGCACTCTTGTGTTCATACACAAACACGATGCATTAACAGTTGGATGTGGTGATGCATATCTATAATTCCATAACTTTGGGAATTGGAACAAGATAGTCAGGAATTTAAGGTGATCCTTAGCTACAAAGTGAATCTGAGGGCAGCTTGGGTTACATGAGACCCTCTCTCAAAAAACCAAAATAATAAAAAATGAATTTATATCTAACCTACCAAACATCGTTGCTTTACCTACTTTAAATATGCTTAGAACATTTACATAAGCCTCTAGTTTTGGCAAAAATCATCTAACACAAAGCCTGTGGTTATAATAGAATATTGACATCTCCTGTCATTTGTTGGCTGTCTATATCCAAACAATCTTGGCAACATAGTAAGTACACTGCTCTGCTCATAGGGTGGACTGGATGCTGTAGCACCCACTGCTCAACACCTCAGCAAAGTATTGTATCACATAGCTTAGAAAATGACCAAAAGATGAAGTATGATTTCCACTAAATGTGTAATGATCTGTTAGTGGAAGGCTGAGAAACTTGTGTGGAGGCATGCTAAGCTGGGGACCATGTACATTTCTTTAGGAAAAATTCCTAGAGTATTAGTTAAAATTGTTTTTAATTAGCCACATTTTAATTTTGGGAACAAACCTAATTGTCTGCTAGGTAGCTTTTTACCAATGACTTCTCATTCACAGCAGGACACATGGCCAGTGAGTACTCTTGTCTAGACAAGAGGTGGAAAAGGACCATTTACTTTTGTGTATAGCTTTAGTATGTTTGATTATTTTTCTCAATTTCTTCTTCAGACATGTTCTCATGCAACCCAGGTTGGCCTTGAACTTATCATCTGGGCCTGACTTTGAATTCCTGATTCTCCTGCCTCTACCAAGTACTGGTATTATACAGATAGTTGCCAACATGTCCAGTTCCATCTTTTTTCAATTTAAAATCATATTTAAACCTCACATGATTTTTATAAAGTGTGTCCAAGATGTTTTAAGTCTGACTTCACACAAAGTAATTTTATGACATTAAGCCAGTTTTTAAAAAGCAGTGCATGTGTGTGGCAAATATTTTAGATAGAATTAAAGAATGATGGTGAGATTTTTCCTCTGATTCTACTAGAAATCTCTGGTAATCATGTTCACCAGTTTCCAAATATTTTTTTCATGGATCTTATTCTCATGCTAAAATACTATCTCTTCAGAAATAAAATCCAAGTGTGTTCTGGACTGGGATGACACACACCTGTAATCAGGACTTCCAAGGCAGGGAAACCAGGAATTGGAGACCAGCCTCGGGCTTAATAACAAGTTCTAGACTAGCCTGGTGGACCATGAGACCATGTTTCAAAAACAAAGTGGGGCTGCATAAACTTGCTGTTAAAGCACAAGAACCCTGAATTTGATCCTTAGAACCCACATAAAAACAAACAACAAAAATAACAGGTGTAGTATGCCTGTAATACCAGCACTGGGGAAGTAGAGGAAGGTAGATCTCTGGGTCTGGATGGCCAGCCAGCCTAGGTAACTTCACAAGTGCCAGGCCAGTAAAGGATTCAAAACCCCAAACAAAAAAGGGAACAGTCCTCCTTGAGTGAGGAGTGACAGTCAAGGTTGTCCTGTGCCCTCACATGCATTCTTACTGCAACACACAGTGTAGGCACGCACATACTAAAACAAAAACGAAGAACATGAGCCAAGCTTTGAAGTTCAGTTCTTTCCCTCACTTACAGAGGAACCAGGTACTGTGGATTCAGAACACACTCTGCTTTAAAGATTTGCTATTACTCACACGTGCCTGAGAGAGGGAGGGAAGAAGGGAGAGATTTTAACAAGTGTTTATTGTGGAAGCGGTAGGTTTTTAGCATTGAGTGAGTGAATATATAGTTGCCATGTTAAATACTCTGCTAGTCCTTCAAATATATTCTTTTATTTTCTCAACAACGCTGAAAGGTGCTGTCCTCATTTTGCAATGAAATATCCACCCAGGGCCTTTATAGTATGCCAGCTGTTGAAGACAAAAGCCAAGGAACAAATTTGTTTCAATGACACCATTCATCATTAAAATCCACAAGTCCTTCATTTGGATCACAATTTTCTTGGCAATACTTTTTCAAAAGCAGCCTTTCCAGGAAACATCTGAACACATCTTTTCCATAACCTAGTAAACAAACTTTAAAAATAAGCTTCTTCTTGGTAAGCTCAGCAGACAGTTTATTGACCAACATCTACTTCTGCCTTTGAAGCACTAAGTAATAAAAGCTCAGGGTCAGAAACTGGGGTTCAACCTGAAGATTTGAAAAGCAAAACAGCCACTGGCTCTTACCTCAACCTCAGTCTGAAAAGGCGATCCTGCCTCCTGGAATCTCAGAAGGAGACTGCACGTCTAAGAGCTGTTTCCTCCCATTTTATAATCCTCTCTAGGGCTGGGATTCAGAGCGTGCAACACTGTCATTAAAGGCATGCACCACCCAGTTTCTGTGGCAACTAGTGTGGCTACTGGGATTAAAGGTGCGTGTCATTATGGCTACAGAGATTAAAGGTGTGTGTTACCACAATCTGGTCTGTAAGGCTGAGCAGTGGGGCTGTTTTACTCTCAGATCTTCAGGAAGTCTTTATTTATTACAATACAATTGAAATGACACTCCATGCCTTGGAAGTATTCAGGAGAGAATAGTCCACATGACTACCATGAGGTAGAGCAGATTATCCAGGCTTGTATTTCTAAAAGATTTATTATTATCCACATGGATCAAAACCAGGAGAGGGCTGGGAAAACAGCTCAAGCAGTAAAGCATTTGTAAGCACGACAATACGTTCAGTCCTTGAATCCACATGGAAATGCTAGGTGCTTGTAATCCCAGTACTAGGGAGATAAAGACAGCAGAATCCCTGGGCACTCTTGACTAGTCAGTCTAGCCTAAATGATGAGCTCCAGCCAAAAAAAAAAAAAAAAAAAGACCATCTCAAAGGAGGTAGACAGTGGTCTTAAAGGTGACACTAAAAATTTTTGTTTGTTTTGTTTTTTGAGACAGGGTTTCTCTGTGTAGCCTTGGCTGTCCTGGAACTGGAGACCAGGTTGACCTTGAACTCACCCCCCCCCCCCCATCCTCCCCCCCCCCCTGCTGGAAATAAAGGAATGCACCACCTTGGCCTGGCTGACACTTGAAAATTATTCTCTGGTTTCCACGGGTATGCATTCATGCACACATGCACGCATACACACACACACACACACTATACATTTATTAAAAGAAAAATATATCCAATCCTGGAAAAACAGGAGTCAATATATTTTACTTCCAAAATTCAAAGAAGGTTTTCTGTTATGAAATAACACAAATAGGACTAGAGAGATGGCTCAGCAGTTTAGAAAACTTGCTATTCTTCTAGAGGACCCAGGCTCATCTTCCAACACCCTCCCAGTAGTTAACAACTAACTGCCTGTAGCTCCAGTTCCAGGGGATCCGACACCCTCTTCTGACCGCTGCAGGCACCAGGCACGCATGTGGAATACAGACATAGGTGCAGACAAAAATATTCATACATATAAGATGGATCATCATGGATAATACCACTTATAGTCAGGACCAAAGGTGGGAGAAGTTGACCAGGTAACTGCAGTGTCTGGTGTCAGAATGTTATGTACCTTGGAGGCTCTGGTCCTCCACTAACATTGAGACTAGGCCTAACAACTGGATAAGAGATGATGAAATACTAAATACTTGTTTATTTCCTTAATGTCAGAGTAACTGGAATATTCAAATAACTTTTATTTAATGAAGGATATACTCATTAACCTCCAACCAAGTCTTTAAAAATCCCATCTATCTTTCAGTAATAACAATTTAAAAAGTAACATGGTCTACTTTTATAATTGAAGAAATGTTTGTATTTCTATGTGTGTGAGAAAGAGATTGGCTCTTGCTATATATCTCCAGTTTGCCTCAAGCTCATCCTTCTGCCTCAAACTTCTGAGTGCAGGGGTTATAGGACATATAGCACCATACCAGTCTTTCTTTTTTGATGGGTTTCAGTATGCAGCACTGGCTGGCCTTGAACTCAGAGATCTGCCTGTCTCTGCCTCCTGACTGCTGGGATTAAAGGACTGTGACACCATGCCAGACCATACCAGTCTTAAGTTACTTTTAATTAAATAAGATGTGATCTTTATATATTGAGATCTTCAGAAAGACGACACTGGGCTAGAGAGAAAACTTCCATTCATATAGATTTTACTATTGCCATTGATATTACCATTAAAGATCAAAATGGAAAATCTTGCAAATGATGGACTTTTTTAGATTTTTGTGTGTGTCTCAGTGTCTATGCACATGGAAGGATGTTTAAGTTTTTTAAATTTGTTTCAGGAATTATAAGGTTGGGTTAACATTCTATGACACAGTTACTTAATACATTAATAAACAATAAATCATATATTATTAGACAAAAATTCAACATCCATTTATAATAAAAATTCAGCAGAATGGGAGTGTTTTGCTATTACAATGTATTGGGCATCTCCAGAGAAATATACTGTTAGGGGAAGTGGATTTGGATTCATTTTTAACTGCATATATTAGGTATCCAGGAAAAAATTTATGAAAGAAACATACTTCACAATGTGGAAAGGAGAAAATTATTCATATATTCAGTTAATACAAATGAGGCAAAAAATGGTGGTAGAAAAATAGCAAGACAAGCAATAAATAGTAAATAGTACTCCAGATGTCAGGTAATGGTCAAAAGTATCAAGAAGACATGTTTATTTGTTTGAGAGACATCTCATGGAACTGAGGATGACCTTGAACTCCTGGTATTCTGCCCCACTCAGTTTGTAAGGTACCAGTTAGTAGAGGGCACGTGCATCACCACACCCGAGGTGTGGAGCTGGGGACCAAACCATGGTAGGCAAGTATACTACTGGTTCCCATCTCTGCTCACCACAGACTTTCTGTCTCAGCTCTTTAAGCAAGTTCCAAGTTTGCATGTTTCATGCTTCTTGCTCCACTTATTTGGCCTGGCACTTAACACTTACAAGGGCTCTTCAAGGCAGGGTTTCTCTGTGTAGCTTTGGCTGTCTTGGAACTTGCTCTGTAGAGCAGGCTGGCCTTGAACTCACAGAGATCCACCTGCCTCTGCCTCTGGAGTGCTGGGATTAAAGGTGTGCGCCACCACTGCCCAATAGAGTTAAGACCCTATCTCTAAAGAGATAAAGTGAGAGAGAATTGGGATTTATTCAGAATTTTCAAGGTACTAATCCTGTTGTTGCTCTCCTCCCCAAAACACCTTCATAAACTGGCAATTTTTAAAAAATGTTATATTTTAAATTACCAACGAGAAGCACCATGGACTCTGCAGTGGAGGAGAGCAAAGTTAAAAGCTGTCCAGTCTGGGTGGGTGCCCACAAGAGGGCTACTGAGGCAAGACGAGCCTCAATTCAGGGCCTGCTGGGGCCACACGGTGAATTCGAGGTGAGCCTGAATCAACCTCTTAAAGTTTAAAAAGAAAGGGTGGGGCCCGGAGACATCTGCTGCGGTGGAGTGTTTGTCTACGATGTGTGAAGCCATAGGTTCACCCTCAATACCATAAAGGAAACATTTGGACACAGTTATCCAGTTAGCGGCAGTTCTGGAAAGAGCGACTTTCTTATTTTGAATCTATAATTCACTACTCAATGTCGGTTACAAGACATTTGCTTGAAGCAGGTCCAGTGTGAGGTACAAAACGATGGAAATCAGCTCGATATCAGCTAAGGGTCCCAGTCATTCTATTGAATACGTCTGTGGGGTACAATGCCCGGTGCCCCTAAAATACTTTGGGTCGGACACTAGCAACTGGGGTAACCTGGCCTGTACTTCCGATTGCACAAGGCAACTTCTTAGTAACCGTGACCCCACAACCCATCTGAGACACATGGCTCGGGCCCAAGCTAGTTCTGGAGGCCTCTCATTCACCTCACCCGCTCGGATAAAAACCTCAGGCCCACAGCGTCTGTGTGCTACATTCCGTGACCGACTCCAGGGTGTTCCCGCCTCTGTTCTGGCATCATCAGGTACCTCGGACGCCTACAGCTCCAATTGATCCCGTCAACTGGCCGGGCACTCACCAAGGAGACCCAGCCGACGGAACCGGAAATAGCTGCTTGTAGAAGCTCAGGAATAAGTAACGTCTCTCAGTTGCCCGGTGCGAGGCTGGTCCTCGGGAAGCTGCTCAATTGGTCCATTAAAGAAGGACCGCCGCCTTGGGAGCACGCTGACCAATCAGGATGCAGGATGGTGAGCCGGGGGCGCGTCGCTTCCGGCGGTTTCCCCACGGCTTCTGCGTGGGGAGCATGGGAGCGTGGGAGTTTTGTGGTGGCCTCCGCCTCCTTTGTCGCGTCTCGGCTGGGCGTGGCTTCGGGCCGCTTCTGCCGGGCAGGGTGAGACTGACTGTGCCCCAGAGCGGGTGAGCGGTCCGTTTCAAGGCTGCTTTGGAAGAAGCCGTCACCTCCGATTCTCAAAGGAGCTTGAGGGTTTCGAGGAACCTGAGGGGAGAGTGGAAAGGCCTGGCAGCCGAGTCGTAGATTCTAGGGACTGTTCTCTCCGCTTGTTGTGTTGTCCCATCGTGGGGACTTGAAGAAGGACCCCTTAGCTTCCTCAGATGGCGTCCACGCGCCCCACGTCAGATGACCAGGTGAATTCTGTCGTTATTTTCCTACAGCTGCCTGGCCTCCTCGGAGCTGGGTTAGACACACAGGTCCCCACTCGTGGCTGCCTCCTCAGATAGCCCGTTCAAACCAAGCTGTCTTCGTTTCTAGGCTTACCGACTTCCTCTTGAGAATCACCAGATGGGGAGCAGAGCTCTTGACAAGGGGTAACAGTCCTCAAAGCGTCTTGCGGGAGTGCCTCTTCAAGCGGCAGATTTCTAGGCTCCACACCTGTTGAACAATGATGATAACGTCTAGGTGATTTTTTAATCACCGCAACGCGCCGATTAAAAATTAGGAGCGAACTAGATCTTGAAGTGGTGGGAGGGGCTGAGCAATCACGGTGAGGAGAAAGACAGACAAGACTGCAAAGGATGGAGGAAATTCCAGAAACCCATCTCGGGGTTCTTACTGGGCTGGCCCGTCTCCCCCCCCCCCCACTCCTCTTTCCCCTCTTCTCAGTGCATCGTTACCTAACTTTCTCTCCCCAAGAATTGTTCACTCGTTTTTGTTTTTTTTTTTTGTTTGTTTTTTTGTTTTTTCGGGAAAAGCTACATTCTCACGGTGTACTGTCTTGGTCCTCACACCACTGTCTGAAATTTTACGTTTATGATTTCCCTTCTAACCCTACTCGTAGAATCCCTCGTTGAGGAATATTTTACAGCAAGCCCTTTGTTTTTGGTATGTTAAGGGTTTAGCTCTTTTCAGCATTCCTAGATTAACACTGGAACTGACTGCTAGCTTCTTGTACTAACAGGGTTCTCCTGTTTTAGGGACCGTTGCTATTTGAAGATCTGGATGTGTATTTCTCTCAAGAGGAATGTGTGAGTCTGCAGCCTGCCCAGAAGACCAACAGCGGAGAAGCCTCGTTGGAGCCTTTTGAGGACTTGGACTCGACAGGTAAAACAGTTTTCCTGTTTTATGGAACTCTCATCAGTTCTAGGATGAGAATTTTTTGACTTGTCCACATTGGTGGTGAAGTGGGACGTGTGTGTGTGTGTGTGTGTGTGTGTGTGTGTGTGTGTGTGTGTAGGCCAGAGGATGTCAAGTGTTCTTTCTCAGTCACTCAATACTCTGAGTCCGGCTAGCCAGCTTGCCTTGGGATCCCCTCTCCACTTTCTGAATGCTGCGGTAACAGGTGGACCACATCTACCTGTCTTATTGGTGCTGGGGTTCAAACTCCTTAGTTTACACAGTGAACATTTTATCTGCCCAGCCATCTCCTGAGCCTTTAAATGATTTCTTGAAAGAAACCCAGTCTACTGTGGTGACCATGGTTTCATATACTATGTACCAGTACCTTGTAATTTCCTGAAATAATTTTTAAAGTCAGCTTTACTTGAAAAACTTCATTAGGTATAGATTACTGTCATTTGCTAAAAATTGGGAACAAATTTTCTTTTAAGGGGGTGTTTTGACTTTTCTCACCTAAGGGTAACCATATGCAGCATCCTTACACCTGAATAGACAATATGTCTTGTGGAGGGTTGAGTACCTAAACTATTTTTCATAATTCATGACTTATATTTTACACTTTTGTCATGTTCATGTTCTTCTCCACCTTCTCTTAAATGTTTATTTTATAAATTTATGTTTATAGTTATAAATGTATTATAAATATATTTATAAACATGTAGTATATTTTTAATAGCTACTTTCTTTGCTGATTTTTTTTTTTTTTTTTTAGTCAGGGCCTCTCTGTAGCCCTGGCTGTCCTGGACTCCCTATGTAGTCCAGGCTGGCCTTGAATGCACAGAGATCCACCATCTCTGCCTCCAAGTGCTAGAATTAAAGGCATGTGGACACACTAATTATAATCATATGCCAATTCTGGATCTATTTTTATTGACTGGTTTTTCTCCTTGTTATGAGTTGAGGATTCCTATTCCTTGCATGCCTGGCAAAGTTTGACTGGAGTTTTAGATGTTGATTATCTTTTGTTTTGATTTTTTAAAGATTTATTTTATTTTTATGTATGTGAATATTTTGCTTCCATGTTTGTCTGTGTACCGTGTGCATGCCTGTTGCCTGAGGACATCAGAAGAGGGTGTTGGATCCCGTGGAACTGAAGTTACAGACAGTTGAGAGCTATCATATGGGTGCTGGGAATTGAACCCAGAGCCTCTGGAAGAGCAGCCAGTGCTCTTAACAACTAAATCATCTCTCCAGCCCCTACAAAATTCAAAAAGAAATAAAGAAAATCTTCAGTTTGCAATTAGTTGAATCTGCAGCTATATACCTATGGGTATTTAGTGATGGCTATGTTGGGAAAAATATTTAAAAAGGATTCTTTGTGCTGGGTTTAGGTTTTGTTAGCCCTCCCTGAGATCAGAATATTTCCCTGAAGTCTACACAGCACCTTTATTATCATTCTTCCACGGAGGATGAAATTTTAGAGACTCTCTAGGATATAAAACTATTTTTAATATTTGGATGTTTATTAAAGTAGAAAAATAGTTGTCTTCTTTTTTCTGATAAATATGTCTGCTCTCTAGTAGTTTTGACTACTCAACTCTCATTTGAGATGAAGAAAAAGTCCTAAAACCTAAATAAACAGAAAAACTCCATTTCTAGGCACTGCCTACCAAGACTGTCCTCGGTACCCATCTTACCAGACCCTTAGAGTCATTCTCTGCTCCTTCTCTTTGCAGATTGACCTGGAACCTTGCAGTCCACCCACATGGACAGACTTTTGATTTTTGGAAGTCAAGAGAGCCTGTTGGCTCCTGATTTTTTTGTATTTATTAGTGTCTGGGTAATTAGCTAACCTGTGTTCAGTTTCTGGTCTTCAGAGTAACTACTTTAACTTATTCTTTCTCTAGTGTCTCGCGTAAAGGTGGTGTCTATGTTTTCCTTTGTTTTGCTTTTATCAGCAGGAGGGAAAGACAAGATTGAGACCAGTCAGCAGTTAAGCCTAGAGTCTATGGAACTTGAAGAGCTGTCTCTAGAAACGTACTCCATTGCTTCACCCCATGGCCACTACTTTGAAAAATCTGAGCATGACGTTGGAATGCATGAAAGGAAGATGTCAGGGGGAGCTTTGACTTGTAAGACCAAGGTTATAAGCCTCTTAGTTACCATTGAAAACCAAACCCCATTAGTAGAATTATCTCAGTGTTTAGGAGTCAAAACACTTTCTGATATTATTGAAGTTCCCTGGGAAGAAGCTACAAATGTGTACAAGTGTCCTGACTGTGACCAAAGCTTCAGTGATAACACATACCTTGTTTTGCATCAGAAAATCCATTCAGAAGAGAAAAAGTATAAATGCAGTACCTGTGAGAAGACCTTCAGTCACAGAGCCAACCTGAGGACACACAAGAGAACCCACACTGGCGAGAAGCCTTACAAGTGTACCAAGTGTGATGCCGGCTTCCGGCAGCAGTCACACCTGTCCCGGCACATGAAGAGCCATATAAAGGAGAACCCATATACATGCAATGTATGTGGGAAAGGTTTTATGTGGCTCCCAGGATTGGCGGAACATCAGAAGAGTCATAATGATAAAAAATCTTACGAATGTGCTGAACGTGATCAACCATACTGTCAGGAAACAAATCTGGCTTTGCCTGAAAACACAGGCTCATCAGACACCCCATACCAGCACACCCAGTGTGAGAAGAGCTTGGAGCACCCCTCATACCCTGCTCTCCCTGAGAAGGATCATAAGGAGGACTCTAAGAACTGCAGTATTGATGATGAAGACTTTTTTTCATTTTCCAGATTCAAACCCTTACAGTGTCTTGATTGTGACATGACCTTTCCTTGTTTCTCGGAGCTTGTTTCTCATCAAACCATTCACGACATGGAAAAACCTCATAAGTGTAAGACATGTGGAAAAACCTTTGCTTTAGATTCAGAACTTGCATCCCATGAGAAGCAGCACATCAAAGAAGAACCCTTCAAATGCACGGTGTGTGGGAAGAGCTTCCGAGTGAATCTGCATCTCATCACTCACAAACGAACCCACAGGAGAAACACCAAGTAAATACAAGCTTTGCCACTGTTGAGCTTCTTAGTGTCTTTATGATGGGAAACCGTTTATGTGCAGCGTTACGCTAAGCAAGCACTTTACACACATTCCAGGTAACGTAGGCAGTATTATTTATTACCTCTGATTAGAACTGAGGCGACATAATGTTACATACATAGCATGTGAAGTGAGGATTTGAACTCAGTTCCTGATCAGATTTCATTTATATGAGCCAGAGAAACAGAAAACTTTAAAATTTGGCTTTTGACTGCTGGGTATGGTGGCACACACCTTTAATTCCAGCACTTAGGAGGCAGAGGCAGGTGTGGATCTCTGAGAGTCTGAGACCAGTCTGGTTTACATAGTTCCAGGACAGCCAGAGCTAAATGTGGTACCCTGTCTCAAAAACCAAAATAATTCCAGTTTTTGTTAAAATGAAGGTTATTTCTACATTTTTTTTTTTAAAAAGTTGGTTTCTAAGAATTTTAGGAAGAGGAGATTTATTTTTTTGCCAGTTCTATACATGTAGTATCTAGGAAAATGAATGTATTTATATTTGTTTTTGTACTTTTCTTGTTAAAATTATTTCAGTGAAATGTTTGTATGGACTATTTTGTTTGAACTGTGAATTTCTAGTTAAGGACTCCATATAAAGTTACCAAATGGACCACTTTTGTTTTCTTAAGTGTGTGTGTGTGGGGGGGGGGGGGTTCTTGCTGTGTAGCCCAGGCTGGCCTCAAAAATCATCATTTTCCTGTTCACATCTCCCAAGTGCTAGGATTACTGGTATGTACCATCATATGCAGCTAGTTAACAGCTGGATAACATTATTTGTGGATTTCCCATTTTCAGACCTGATGGCAGGGGCAAGCCCTGACTTCTCTAGCAGTTAAACTTCGTGGGAGTACTTGCTCCTCTCTGAAGGGATCTGCCTCTAGATCTCCACTGAAGCACATCCTGGCTGGCTATGAGTAATTAGAACTACTTTTTGAAGAGAGCATGCTAGATAGTGTGGATATATTATTTTGTTTAATCTTCAACAGAATCTGAGAGAAAAGGACTGTCCACATTTTACAAATAAATGGAAGCTTTCAGAAAGTAAAGTCAATGCTTTGCTAAGCACACAAAACGTCACACTGGTGAGGCTGACATCTAAATTCAGGGGCTTTCTAATTCCCAAGTCCACACATTTTGTGACACTGCACTATCTGTTGGTATTTGTGCCACAGGTTAACACTAGGAGACAAGGATGCTGGGGAGGGAGGGGAACTGCAGGCATGGAGGCTGCCCTGGGACTTACTACCTGAAGCCCATTATGTCCGTATTCTTATCCAAAACTAGATTTCATTGCTCTTAAAAAGCAACAGAAGACTCTCTACAGCTTCATGTTTGAAATTCTTGTCACTGTATCAAACCAGAGATTTGTTTTTTTTTTTTCCATTTTGAGACAGGGGTTTCTCTGTATAGCCCTGCTTGTCCTGGAACTCCCTCTGTTCACCAGGCTAGCCTCAAACTCAAGAGATCTGCCTGCCTCTGACTCCTGAGTGCTGAAAGATGTATGACACCACGAAGTGGCTAGAGACTATTAAATTGTAACATTTCCTGTCCACTTCCAAAGAAAAATACAATAGGATTATTGAGTTTTTAACCAAAATAACTGATAACACATATGTCTTTAGGTACTAGTATCACAGATAAATATTAGAACAAAATATTGTCATATAGTGTGGTTATTAAAAGAACCAAAGAATGTTGTAAGTATACATTCTTACAGAACTACACTTTACAACAAAATTGATTATATACCTATCATTAAAACTATATGGTCTTTTGGCTAATATGCATTTATGATTGATTTCATTCTGTCTAAATAGACTGTAAAAATGTGGTATTTACTAAAATGGAATTACTGCTAGGAAATTTCATGCACAAAAATAAAGCCCTCTTGAAGGCCAGTGGCTAAAATGTAGTACCTGGGAATCGTCTCTTCTACAGAAGAGCAGGTTGAGGATTTTATGTACAAAAAGATGCCAGCTGCGCAACTAAGCGCTTCATGTTTACTAGAGACAGGAAGGTCACTGTTGCTGAGTGAGGAAACTGAATCAACAGCCTTGCCTCAACCTGTCGTCCCTCTCCTGGAGATCACTATTTCAGTTTGTCCACAGCTGAGACTGATCTGTATGTCAAGGTCAGACCTGGCTGTTTCTCCAAATTTAGGATATAAACCATCATTCTGTCAGGGAGGTGGGGGTCTCACATTTAAAATAGCCTTCTGGTCTCTTCAGCCCTTCGTCGAAGATACTTTGAATTGTAAGACTCTCAAGACTTAGCTAACTCTGGGATATGGTTGTTGTGAAACAGCCACAAGAGTGTTAGTTTCCCACTGTCTGGTTCTCAGAGCAGGGAAGCGGTGTGCTACTGCGCAGGCTCTAATATTTCCGTGAAGACCCTTGAGTTACAGGATGGGGAATGGAACTGGCAAAGAGGCCCTTACTAAAGAACAAACGAGAAAGGTGTCAGAAGGTACCCGGACTAATGTGGCTGACCTAAAGATGGAAGTTGTCACCCTCTTTCTTTGCTGCTAGGGAAACACAAGCAGGTGAGTCTGTGCTGCAGGTGCTGCTGCACATCTTCACGTGGCTTCACAGTGACCTCTCAGTGTCTGTAGCTTTCTGCATTCTCCAGACTTGGAAGATTAGGAAAGAGACACTTTTATAAAAGTCATCACTATATGTGAGAGGAATTAAATGGCCTGTGGTATATTATTGGTGACTGGTATGCAGAGAAAAGGAAAACACAGTTACTGTGAAATAGGCACAGTTTTAGTTGTTTCCTTATTGTGCACTTGTTTCTAAAAACATTAGTTGTACGTTATTCTCAAGCTGCTCTGCACCCAAGGAATTGAAGGAAGAGCTGCAATGGTATTTCAGCTACTTTCATGATAATGGCCTTTTCTTCGTCCTAACTGGATTGCCCACTAGGATAGATCACATAAGAAATCTCTTAACCCAGGATAAGTTATGTTAGGTGCTCATAACATATTGGAAACCGTCAATATAGGGATAAAAATGGAATGTATGTGTATTGCTGTGAATGGTCGGCTAACTACATGTAGGAGGGGCGTTGACCCTCTGAATGGTCGGCTAATTACATGTTGTAGGAGGGGCGTTGACACTATGAAGTGTGGAAACTTGAACTGAAAAAATGAACTCAAACTTGGCGGGTTTTGCTGATGCGATGATGTAAATGTGATGAAGACAGTTCTTTAATGTGATCTGTGCATACCGAGTTGTGTTAAACTGTCATCACTGATGACAGCAGCATTTCCCAGTGGAAGTTAGATGCCAGTGTTTGCACTTTATATTGTGGTGTTGAATCATTTTGTTGAGAACTGTGCTGCTACAAATAACAATCTGTTCATGTGCCCTGAAGACAGCTGGCTCAGTAACTCAGGCAGTTAAAACAAATGACATTTTTGTCTTTGACGCCTCAAGTTCCAGAAAATTAAGTAGTAGTAGCTGGAGAGATGGCTGGGAGGTTAAGAGCACCAACTGCTCTTCAGAGGGCCCAGGTTCAATGCCCAGCACCCACATGGCAGCTCATAGTGATTGTAAATCCAGTTTCTGGGTGATCTGACACCTTCACACCACTGCACATAAAGTTAAGTCAATCATAAAAAATTCTTTAAAAAATTAAGTAGTAGTGTCTGGTGACTGTAATGTAAGATGCCAAACAATCTGAAAAGATACTTTGCTTTAAATAATCTGATTTACTGCATATGTATTCAAAGGGAGATGTAGGGTATAGCTTTTATGAAAAAAAAAACATATTTTGAATGTTGCAGTGATTTCATTAGGAAACTGCTTTTGCTTTGACTATTTGTTAAAATGGAAAATTGTTTATAAAGTGTATATTTAACTGTTTTAGTCTTGTATATTAGAACTATTTATGTAATATAAAATGACTATTATCTATCTCTTTAAGGCTAACTACAGGTGTTTGTCTCTTTGAATTGAGATTCTTGTCTGTAAGAACGGTCTAGGGAGAACAGGGATACAACCTAATTCATTTATAGAAACCTAAAAATACTTTCCCATGTCTATTTATCTTGATGCCTAGTTAACGCTTTCTGTATGCGCTTTCTGTGTTTCTTTCAGCTTTACTGTTTCTGACACATTCCTATTGGTCTTAGTTCTAGATTGGAGTCTCTCAACTGTGACTGTGTGCATTTGATGTGCAAATTATTATCCAATAAATGTTATCTTGTGATGGTGGCAAGGTTGTAAACTTAAAATGTATATGTCAATGACTTTAGGTTGTAGTAAAGGTAAGTTCAAAAAAGCTAATTGGATAATAGTTTAGAAAATGTGAATGAATTACTTTACCCCACTTGATAAAGGAAATAACGTGTCTCGTTCCCTGGAATTCAGTATAAAGTTCTAGTATTATTCCAAGACAGCACTCCAGTCTTAGCTGCAAGGTAGCGGTACAGGACCAAGTACCTCTAGCTCCACCAGGCAGTGGTTCTCTAACAGACCAGCCCAGCTGGGGAAGGAATATGGTAAATTCTCTCTTCTGGTTTCCCAGGCCTTGGAGTGATCATAGGCTGGCCAAGCAGCTACCAGTGGTACAGGTTGGAGCTCATGTCTACCAGTTGCCATTTGCCTTGCCAGCGGGCAAGAAGCCGGCACCTGAGGCCACTTCTGGTGTCTGCTTCCATCAGTGCTTGTGCACCGTGCTGACTTTTGGGGTTCGCTATCCAGCGGTGGAGTTTGGTGAGGCATGGTCTGTCAAGACAGGGTTTCTCTGTTAGCTTTAGACCCTGTCCTAGAATCCACTCTGTAGACCACATTGGCCTCAAACTCACAGAGATCCACCTGCCTCTGCCTTCCGAGTGCTGGGATTAAAGGCATGTGCCACCACTGCCCAGGTAAATGATCTCCCTTCTAAGTTGCCATGGTCACGGTGTCTCGTCACAGCAACTAAGTGACAGTGACTAAGACAGAAACCCAAGGAAAAAATAAAATAACAAGTGCTTTTTTTCTCCAGATACTCAAGAGGCTGAAGCAGAAGGATTGCTTGAGCCCAAGAGTTTGGGACCAGCCTAGGCAACACGGAGAGACCCCATCTCAAAACATCAAATTATACTAACAAAAGACCTAAGAAACTAAAGAAACAATAAATGGTAATCAGACCTACTCCTAATTGTCTGGCTGGCTATGAGATGTGGTCTAGAGTATCTGAATTCTGAACATTATGGTTTTCTTCTCCCTAAAACTGCAACAACAATAGAAAAATAATCTCTGAGTTCAATCCCTATGACTGGAAAAAAAATGTATGCCAGGTACTTACCGACATCTGTTGCTTATGAAGTAACTAATACCATCTTTATTTCAGTGGGAACGTATTATTCCAAAGCCTAAACAGCAGAATGATCGCAATAGATATTTAAATTTCCCTTAGGGACTGCAAGCCATGCATGGTTGACACAGAGAACTGTGAGGAACTGGTATAAACTGTGTTCCAAGGATCTTAAACAACTTTTTGGTTTTTCGAGACAGGATTTTTCTGTAGTTTTGCAGCCTGTCCTGGAACTTGCTCTGTAGACCAGGCTGGCCTTGAACTCATAGAGATCTGCCTGTCTCTGCCTCCTGAGTGCTGGGATTAAACAAGTGTGCCACCACTGCACAGATGATCCTAAACTTTTTAAAAATATATATATATATATTTATTTTTATTATGTATACAATATTTTATCTGTGTGTATGCCTGCAGGCCAGACGAGGGCACCAGACCTCATTATAGTTTGTTGTGAGCCACCATGTGGTTGCCGGGAATTGAACTCAGGACCTTTGGAAGAGCAGGCAATGCTTTTAACCGCTGAGCCATCATCTCTCCAGTCTCCGATCCTAAACTTCTTAATTCATAGGAATGTCAGGCTGTTTTACTGGGAATTAGGAAACTGAAAATTTGGTCCCTTGGATTTTGGCAAGTGACAGCTGTTTTCATTACAGATGTGTACTGCTGGCCATGAGTGTACACCAATAATCCCTCATCCCACTGGGTAAGACAGGAGGATTGCAAGTTTGAGGCTATCCTGGGTTACACAGGAGTTTGTATCAACCCCCACTGCAAAACAACAATTGTACAAGAATGTATTACAGGCTGGGCAGTGGGAGGGCAGGCCTCTGATCCCAGTACTAGGGAGGCAGAGGCAGGTGGATCACTGTGTTCAAGGCCAGCCTGGTCTACAGAGTGAGTTCCAGAACAGTCAGGGCTGCAGAGAAACCCTGTCTCAACCAAAACAAACAAACAAATGAACAAAACATCTTCTGCATTACAAAAGAATGGGAGAAACTGTTGGCAAGTCATATATCTCAGAAGGACATCATTCCGGAATATTTGAAGAATTCTTACAACAAAAATGACAATCCATTTTAACTGGCTACAGAGACAGTTATGGTGGCTCACACCTGTAATCCTAGGACTCAAGACTGAGGCAGGAGGATTGCTGCAAATTCAAGGTAAGCCTAGCTGGCTTATTCTACAGAGCAAGACTCTGTTTCAAAAACAACAAAACTCAAAAGGTTTGGGAAACAGAGGCAGCAAGCATTATCTCAAATTCATGGCCAGCCTGATCTACATAGTGAGTTCTATACAGCAAGACGCTGTCTCAGAACACCAGGGAGGAGGGGAGTTTTGAATAGCCATTTCTTCAAAGCAAATAAACATATAATAAACAAATACGTCATTAGGGAAAAGGAAAGTCAAGATCATGACACACACTCCACACTGACTAAGATAACAATAATCAAGGCACATTCCAGGAACACTGCACATGGTGACACATGCCTGTAATCTTGACACTTGGGAGGTGGAGACAGAAAGATCGAGTTCAAGATCATCCTTAGGATTGTGAGTTGTATGCCAGCCATGAGACCTTGTCTCAGAACAAACTAACAAAAGGCAGTAATAAACCATGTTGAAGGAGTGGAGAAACTGGAACCCTTATGCTGGTTGAAATGTAAAATACGCATCCACTTTGGAAACCATTTGATTGTTTCCCAGAAAAGTTAAACAGGATTATCACATGACCTAGCAAATCAACCTTCAGGCATGTACCCTAGAGGAATGAAACATAACTTAAATATCAGTGTTCATAGCAGCACTCTTCTGCTCACATGAGCCAAAGTGCAGTTCCACAATGTCCCTCAGTCAGTGGCTGAGCTGAATGCCCCTTCATGTAATGCAAGGCTCCTAGGAAATAAAAGGAATAAAGTGCTGACATGATAGTGTGTATGGCCAGGAGCCACAGGCACAGGAGTGAGGGCACAGGGAGTGACTGCTAACGTTGAAGAGTACTTCTCTGTGATACTGACAGTGCCCTAACATGAGCTTGCCATGACACTTGCACAGTGATGAATACTATACTGCCGCCACTGCACTATGTGCCACAAATGCACACGTTGTCTGGTATGTGCAGTGCTTCAGTGACGCAATAAGAAGGAAGCATTTCGATTTCAGGAAGAGTTAGAGGGAAATATTAAGTGTATTCTGTGAGGAGTCATTGCCAGTGTTGTTGAGAGGGACAGTTGTATTGTGAGACTGGTTTGCACCTTATCCGCTGTGGATGGGAAAATGCTCTTCAGATGTACAGACCTCCACTGTCTGCCAATGCTTCCTTTCTCCATGGGTCTCCCTGGGGGTCACTCAGGGGTCAAACACTGGAAGCAGGAGTCCCCCCTAACCTGACATTGCATGTGTTAGGCACAACCAACGGCATGCCTAGGAGCAAGCGGTGCATGTGAGGGGAGAAACGCTATTTTCTTATTTTGGGGTCCTGCAAAAGGAAGAGGAAAGTTGGTTGGTCAAGACTGGTTGCTGAGGCTCTGGTGAAGCGTGCACAGGCAAAGGAGACAAGGGGACCCCACATCTGCGCACAGACTTACTGTTATTCTTTCGGTCCCTGCCCTAGCCACGCCCGCTCCCATTACCTCTGACCTGCCCGTCGCCATCTTGGGACCCTTGCTCCTTCTGCTTCCTTGGCGTGCGCACGCGTTTCCTCTGTCTCTTTCTTCTTTTATCTCTTTTCTCTCCTTTTATCTCTTTTTCTTTCCTTCTCCCTCTTCCTTAATAAATACTTATGGCTATTTCCTGTGTTTACGTGTCTGTTACCTGCGGCCACCGCGGGCGTGGCGTGTGCCCTCCCGCTGGTGGATAGCTGTAGCCGCTTTCTTATGGCAGGCTCCGCCAACCCGCCCGGGGATCGTTTTTTTTTAAGAATAACACTTACTGCCATCAGTTGTCTGATGTGAGCCCTATGTAAAGGAAACTGGGCTAGAGGCAGGGAGGCAATTGGTGTCCTAGTCTTGACACCCTTTGGAAAAGAATGATGTTGACTGTGAGTTTGTCTACAGTCGAACAGGTACCCAAAGACACTAAAGAAGCACTGATGTGTAATCTGAAGAGAGGAAACATACTAGCTCTATAAAATACCCCAAGACACAAAACTCTAGGAAGTCTCCTATGCCGACCCTTGTAAACAACTCTTAAGTTCCTTCTCGCCCCTTTGGGTGACCAAGTTGACCCAAGATACAAAGACATGGTATGTAGGACAAATGACGGTCTTCCACATACATTCATACCCTAATCCCTGAACCAGTGAATGTCACCTTAAATGGCAAAAGGAACATTTGGTGGGTGTTATTAAGGATCTTGAGATGGGGAAATTATCCTCCTAGGCCAAATATAAGCATCCTTCTAAGAGAGATCCAGGACAAGGTTAGGCAAGATGGAGAGTCAAAAAATGTACTTTGAGGCCGGGCGGTGGTGGCACACGCCTTTAATCCCAGCACTCGGGAGGCAGAGGCAGGCGGATCTCTGTGAGTTCGAGACCAGCCTGATCTACAGAGCTAGTTCCAGGACAGGCTCCAAAGCTACAGAGAAACCCTGTCTCGAAAAACCAAAAAAAAAAAAAAAAACCAAAAAAACACAAACAAACAAACAAAAAAACATGTACTTTGAGGATGAAGGGGTCATGAGTCCAAGAATGTCGGAGGCTGCTAGAAGCTGAAAAAGTCAAGGAAGCTGATCCACCTCTCAGGGTTTCCAGAAGGAAAGAAAGCCCTGCCCAAGGTGATTCTGGACGAGTGAAGCTGATTCCAGACTTTAGCTTCTTCCAGTCGTACAAGAGAAATTTTGGGTTAAGCCACCAAGCTCGCGGTCATTTGTTACAGCAGCTATAGAACGGATACAGACATGACTGAGACTCAGAAGTTACCCAGAGACAACAGTGAAGCTGCCCTTAAGGGAAGGGTATGTGTGCTTGGTGGGGAGAACTATAGGTTCCAGCTAGTACTCGTATGCGGGCTGGGGAAGAAGTAAGGACAGGCTGATACTGAAGATAAAGGCAGTGGCTTGGACGGCCACCTCCTACTGTTTGTACAAAGTATGCATCCTGTCTGCCTGACCGAGGAAGAGGATGCCTCGCCTAGAGTGGTACTGACTGGGTTCTACTGTCTACTTTGAGGAAACAAGAGTTTGGCACAGGATGGTGTCCCTGACCCAGTTTTGAAACACTAACACTATATAAATATAGTATTCTGTCATTTAAAAAATGCTGTCCAAGTACTTATCATAAATTAACCTATTTCAGTAATTTTCCTGGAGTCACTGAGTTGTGTAGCCATCACCATAATCTAGTTGTAAACACTGAAAATGCCAGTCACAGTCTTAAAGCTAATGTCTTACTTGAGAAAAAACAGGCAGGATTCCCCTGTCTACCAGAACACTATTTACTTCTCCCTGGAGCTTTTCCTTGTATCTTGGGACTGAAGTAAATCAAAAGTTTGCTATAAAAAAAAAAGATCCCTCAAATACAACTTTTTAATAAAGGTGCTATCTACCAGTTGGTGGCGCACGCCTTTAATCAAAGCACTGGGGAGGCAGAGGCAGGCAGATCTCTGAGTTTGAGGCCAGCCTGGCCGACAGAATGAGTTCCAGGATAGCCAGGGCAGAGAAACCCTGCCTCAAAAATAAATAAAAATTAATGAAAAACACCACCAACAACAAAAAGGTTAGTTGCAGAAAGACTATTAGAGGTCTCCCCAGTGAGTGTTTTCTTGAAATTCTAGTGAGCTGCTCAAGAGTGCACATGAGAACTGTATTTTATAAGACAAAGCAACATGAAGAATTTAATTAATGAGCGATTAAATTAATTAAAACCGCTTGTGGCTCAGCCTAACTATTCTCAGTAACTAGTCCCCACTCTGCTGACAATACAGTTCTCCTTCCCCAACACCCGGATCAGGCAGCTTTGCAGACAGGCTCCATCACTCCCCAAGGGCCCCTTGCTCTGTGATTTACCTGCAAGTAAGGAAAAGGAGAGACAGGTCCGCCCTTCCCTGGGCCTCTAAAGCACTCAGCACCTGTTTAGTCCCCATGGTGGAGCCTGTGGTGCTGGTGGAGATTTGAGCTTTGGCGAAAGCTTTTCCCACACTGGCTGCACTGGTATGGTTTCTCCCCAGTGTGGATTCTCTGGTGCAGTTTCAGAGTTGACTGCCTCCCAAAGCGGTTTCCGCACTCCCCACAGACGTAGGGTCTCTCTCCTGTGTGTACTCGCCTATGTCGCTTCAGCTCTGAATTCCACGTGAAGCTCTTCCCACAGTCATCGCATTTGTAAGGTTTCTTTGCCGCGTGGGCCGCCTGGTGGCTAAGACACTGCAGAAGGCTGCTCAGGCCTCTTCTGCCTCTTTTGCTTTTCTTTAACTCTCTCAGTGGGTAGCCTCTGAGGGGGTTGCTGATATAGTCCAGTTCTCTGCAGTGCCTCTGGTAGTGAGCAAATGCCTTCTGAGCATTTGGGGGTCTGGCCTGCCTCTGTGACAATTGGGGTTCACTCGTGCTCACCCATCTTGCTTCAGGGCCGTGCAGACTACCCACTTTGGATCTCGCGGGTGACACCGCATGTGTCTCTGTTCCTTTTGCCCCTTCCTGTTGTGGGTTTTCCTTGTCTCTTCTCGTCTTGGAGGCCTCTACAATCAGAAATAATGTGCTTCATTTTCTGTGCTTAGAAGAAAGAGCTTCAGCAAAAGAAGTATGAAGTCTGTTGGGGGGAGGGTTGTCAGGGTAGGCCGCCTTCTGCAGGTAACTTACAGGCCATCAGACTCCTCTGAACCATAAAAAGGTTCCTCACCCCTGACATTGGTGAGTCAGAATCTGAAGGTTAGGCCTGGAAGTCTGCACTGTTAACTAGTTCCCGAGAGTGCCCCTAATCTATAGTAAAGTTAGGAACCAAATTCTCTGCTCTTCCTATTTTGGGGGGAAAGGTATAGGAAAACAGAAATAACAAGGAAAAAAATACAAACAAAAAACAAAGACATTGGAATGAAATACCAACAACAAAGAAGACAGTGACATGTTCATTTACTTACTAACCAGGCCTATTGTATTGTCTAGGTTGGCTTCAAACTCTAGGGCCTAAGTGATCCTCCAAGTTTCTGGGACCACAGACCTGTACTGCTGTACCTGGCTAAAGAGTAAAATTCCAGTACTTAAAGATTATCTGAATAAATCTCCCTCCCTTACAGGGACGAAGATTGACAACCTTCCTCACTTCAAAAGAATAATAAAGCCAGTGACTGCTGTGTGTTTCTCATTACAGCGTTGACAGCCTAGGTGCACAGAGACTGAACTATATAGTAGGCACGTGGCCTAATTAGAGACGCTGTTGAGCTTCCGGGGGAACTGAGGATCAAGACGGCTGTGAAGTAGAATGGACCAGGGAAACTGGAGAATCAGCAACAGCACTTTCCAGCAGGACCTCGAAATGGAAGGTGTGTTTCCATGCTACATACCCCATTCAGCACGGCACTGCCGGGCAGATGTGATTGTTGAGTGTGGTGTGGTGTGGTGTGGTGTGGTGTGGTGTGGTGATATTTGTGATCTAACAAATGAAGCTTGCCTGAAGATCAGAGGGCAGAGCCAGCTACTAGTTAACCTGGAGGCAAGACAGTGGGGTGCACACCTTTAATCCCGGCACTTGGGAGGAGGAAACAGGAAGTGATATGGCTGGGCGGAGAGAGGAATGTAAGACAGGCAGGGATGGGAGCATGCCCCCTTCAGGCTGAGGATTTTGCAAGGTAAGAAGTGGCTATGGGGATGTTCTATCAGGAACTCACCAAGGCCAGCTGGCCTGGGTCTGAAAAAGCCTGGGATAAAACCGGACTCGCTGAACATAGCGGACAATGAGGACTACTGAGACCTCAAGAACAATGGCAATGGGTTTTTGGTCCTACTGCACGTATTGGCTTTGTGGGAGCCTCGGCAGTTTGGATGCTCACCTTACTAGACCTGGATGGAGGAGGGTGGTCCTTGGACTTCCCACAGGGCAGAGAACCCTGATTGCTCTTTGGGCTGACGAGTGAGGGGGAGGTAAATGGGAGGCGGCGGTGAAGAGACAGAAATCTTTAATAAATAAATAAATAAAATCCTCATATCTAATCTTCAAATAATTTCTGTGTAGAAAACATGGGTGCTTCTCTTCTGTGTACAACAGGTAGAAAATAAAGCAGTGCCGGCTTCAGATCTGCTGTGCTGACGGAG